TACCTGTGCCGATCAAGAAAGGCTTCTTTGTCGGCGCGGCGCGTCCAGACTGCCCCGATCTGCCGACAAACAGCTGATCGGCAGAGCGGGGCAGCCATTTAAATTTAAATGAAGCCGCAATTATTTTAATCGCGGCTTCATTTCCCTCTGCCGATCTGGCTAATCTACATGCCTCTGTCGACGGAGGCATGTAGTTTAGACGTACCCTAACAGGGTTCAAAAAAGAGCTAGATAGATTCCCAGAGGTTAGGTCCATCAATGGCTATTAGCCAGGATGGGTAGGAATGGGGTCCCTGGCCTCTGTTTGTCTGGAGATGGATGACAGGAGAGGGGTCACTTGATGATTCCCTGTTCTGTTCCCACACTCTGGGGCAACTAGTATTGGCCACTGTCGGCAGACAGGACACTGGGCTACATGGACCTTTGGTCTGACCCAGTGTGGCCGTTCTTATGTTGCTTCCTGGTGCTCCCTGTCTGTCTGCATCTGTTGTCTCCCAACTTCTACTTGGGTTGTTTGCTTTCATAGAATCATCGAATCCCAGGGCTGGAAGAGACCTCAGGAGTCACCGAGTCCAGCCCCCTGCCCAAGGCAGGACCAACCCCAACTCAATCATCCCAGCCAGGGCTTTGTCAAGCTGGGACTTAAAAACCTCCCCTGGACGCCGCCCTAAAGTGGCTCACATTAACTTTGTAGTGTAGATGTGCCCTCACTCTCGGGACCAAGAGGCACGCAAGGTAGGGTGAAAAGTCTCGGGTGGGGAGAGGGAGGCAGGTGAGTCTGTATCTTTAAAAGCAACAAGCAGTCCTGTGGCACCTTAGGGTGAGTCTACACTGCACCCTTCCCTCGAAATAACGGGCACGTTTAAAGATGCAGAATTGCTATTTCAGGATACTTCCGGTATCCCAAAATCGCCCTGCTGTCTAGACCGTAGCCTTAGAGACTAACAAATACCACAGCGTCAGGGGCTCATACACCTGCACATCCTGTAACATGCTCCATGGCATCAAGTGCTATCAATGCCCCTCTGCCATGGACGTTGGCCAAACCGGACAGTCTTTGCGCCGAAGGATAAATGGACACAAATCAGACCTCAGGAACGGTAACACGCAGAAACCTGTAGTGCAGGGGTTCTTACCCTCTTTGGCACTCTTACCCCTTAAGCTTAACCAATGAACCAAAATTACCCCTCTTCCTTTTTAAAATGGCAATAGACAAAAAGAAAATGATGATGAATCATTTTTATTGTATTTTGTTTTCTCATACATTATGTTGAACAAAACTGAACACCTAGGCTGTGTCTACATTGGCACCCTTTTCCGGAAAAGGGATGCTAATGAGACACTTCGGAATTGAAAATGCCCCGGGGGATTTAAATATCCCTCGCGGCATTTGCATGAACATGGCTGCCGCTTTTTTCCGGCTCCGGGGTTTTGCTTTGCTGGAGAAAAGCGCCAGACTAGACGGGATCTTGCGGAAAATAAAGCCTTTTCCGCAAGATCCCTTATTCCTACTTGGTCCCGGAAAAGGGTGCCAATGTAGACACAGCCCTATTGTATTTCAAAACTGATTATCCCCTGAAATATGCTAAATAAGAACTACTGCTATGGGGGAACATTTTAACCTGCCTGAGAGCTCAGTCATGGATTTAAAAGTAGCCGTCCTTCTACAAAGGAATGTCACTAACCAATTACAGAGAGAGGTGGCAGAACTACAATTCATCTACAGATTTGACACCAACAGGAAAAAATGTTAAAGACTAACAAGATAGTTTATTAGGTGATGAGCTTTCGTGGGGCAGACCCACTTCTTCAGATCATATTCTGAAAGTGAATTGGCATGACCAAATATAACAAAGGAATACAATGAAGAAAGTAAACACACAAATCAGATATTAGAACAGAAGGTGGGGGTGAGGGGCAAGGAAGAGATAAGGAAGGAGGAAATAGCTTATTGTAAGTCAATAAGTGGCTAATCTGGAGTTACTACTAATAGGTAGGGAGGCTGTCTTTGTAATGAGTAAGGTAATTTTGGGGAGGCTGTCTTTGTAAGGAGTAAAGTAATTTGCATCTTTAACACTAGTAGTCTAGTGTTAAAGTCTCTTTGAAGTAAGATGCACATTGTCAGGTGTTTAAGGGAATGGCCAGTTACATCAAAATGTTGACTAACAGGTTTTTCTGTGTGGAGATGTCTGATGTCTGATTTGTGGGATTTGTTTTACAAGGAATAAGTGGGCTTCCGAAAGAGGGTTTTTTTCCGACATTTGGCCACATGTAGACGGGCCAAATATCAGAAAAGCCTCTTCTGGAAAAAAAAAAATGCAAATACAAGCGCAAGTTGCATACCTTTTTCGAAACCCATCCCCCCAGTGTAGCCATAACCCTATATAGATAGAGATCTAGAGATAGAAATCTAAAGATAGAGAGAAATAGAGATATATCTAGAGATAGAGATCTAGAGAAATAGAGATAGAAATAGAGATAGAGATAGATCTAGACATAAGGTATGTCTACACTACCACCTAAGTTCAAACTAGGGTGGTTAATGTAGGCAACCAGAGTTGCAAATGAAGCCCGGGAAATTCAAATGCCAGGCTTCATTTGCAACTCCGGTTGCCTACATTAACCACCCTAGTTCGAACTAGGGTGGTTAATGTAGGCAACCAGAGTTGCAAATGAAGCCCGGGAAATTTAAATCCCGGGCTTCATTTGCATGTTGCCGGGTGCCGCCATTTTTAAATGCCGGCTAGTTCGGACTCTGTGCCCGCGGCTACATGTGGCATGGACTAGGTAGTTCGGATTAGGCTTCCTATTCCACGTTCCATGAGGAGTACAGGTAGTTCAGAATAGGAAGCCTAATCCGAACTACCTAGTCCATGCCACATGTAGCCGCGGGCACAGAGTCCGAACTAGCCGGCATTTAAAAATGGCGGCACCCGGCAACATGCAAATGAAGCCCGGGAAATTCAAATGCCAGGCTTCATTTGCAACTCCGGTTGCCTACATTAACCACCCTAGTTCGAACTAGGGTGGGAGTGTAGACATACGCATAGAGCTAGAGCTAGATTTAGATCTAGAGATAGAGCTATAGAAATATATAACAGCAAAAGCAGCTACCTGTCGGTTGTAGGACCCATGTTAATAAAGCGAATTAAGTGGGCTGGGTGTGTCCCATTCACAGGTGTTGATGTGAAAATGTGAATATCAAAGGCTGGGGAAGAAACTGGGAAAAGGCAGGGGGAGGCGGCCAGGAGGCCGGTGCAATATGAGGATCACTCCACTTGGTGGCAGCAACGTTTAAAAAGTGGAGCAGGCGGCTCCGTTTGGCTTCTTAAGACTTTGGGAACCCTCCTGTAGCTGTTTGTCCGTCCCCACCTGTCAGAAACACTCCCATTGGCTGCTGCGCCTCAACCGCCTGGGAGGTGCAATTAAAGGAGAACAGCCCCCCTCCCACGTACCCCACTGCCTTGTGCCTATCAGATGGGGAGAGGGAGGGAGGGACGGGGGCAGTGGGACAGGCCAGCCTCTTAGTGGGGAGGCTTGGCCGTTCCGGGGGAAGGTGCACTGATCAAAACCTAATCGTAGTCGCTGGCTGGGTGGAACGCAGCTAGGGTCTGGTCCTGCAAGATACTTAGGTGCTTTACTCCAAAGGGAGTTAGGTGCCTAAAATACCTTAGAGGGTCTGGTCCCAGGACTTCACGCATGCAGGACTTTGGCCTAGATTCCTCTGGAGCGGCAGGGTTCTGAAATTCTGGCTTTACTTTGTTTCAATGTCTAAAAACCAAACCCCTCTGAAAATTCAACACAAGAAGCTGAGTCTTTCCATACGGGGGTTATATACTCAGAGACGACGCTCCTTCCGGCTCCTTCCGTGCCCAGCAGTGGATTCTGCACCGGTGGCTCTGTGCCTCAGTTTCCCCTGACTGTCTTGTGCATTGAGTTTGCAAGCTCTTCCGGTCAGGGATGGCCTCTCACGATGTGCGCGTGCAGCGCAAGGGGGGGCCCTGAGTTTGGGTCGGCTGGGAGTTAGCGCCCCCCTTTTAATCATCAAAGTAGCCATGGATTTCGTGAGCTAAAACCGTCTGTATGTCGCCTCCTAGCCCCATCATCAAAGTTTGCTGGAGCCACCTAGTCCTCTACAGACAACCCTCCCTCCCCCAACACACACACTTTCCAACACCCGCTCTTTTATAAGCAGCGAGGAGGTTTCGCCTCCCGACTGATTGGCAGGTCTCATTCCCAGACCTTTCGCACAGCACCCTCCTTGCGGATCAATCCCGCCTCGTTTGGCCCCGGGGCCACGCAGTGAATGAAGACAAAGCCATCAGGCTGCAATTAGAGATAAGGAACTGTTGATAATTATCCAGCGCGAAGAGGAGAAGGATTCAAACTTGGGCACCAAACGGGGGGAGAGTGGGCGGGAGTGGACAGTTTGCCCGAGACGTGGAAATTTGCATGAAAATGCACCGAGCTGAATGAGGTTCCATTAATATCAGAATCTCAATGACTCAAATGTCATCTCCCATTATCAGAGGGGGGTTCATTTGAATTCTCTCTTTAATTTTTTTAATTTCAGTTTGATTGATTTTCTCTTGCATTCAGCCGATCGGCACGCACACAGACTGACAGCAGCGATGTGGCCTCTCTCCTAACCCCGGGCAGAGGCGGTGGAGGGAGTAAGGAAAGAGGATTTGATTGAATCAGGAGGAAACTCCCAGGTTGTGCTGTCGTGGGCACCCGTGCAAAGCGGTGTGCACGGTGGTGTTTCACATTCACTCAGCACCCGCGGGAGCAACTGCTCTGGAGCAGAGGGATGGGAAGTGGAACGGAATATGTGAGCTCTGCTCGTGAGAGTTATTTGGGCTTGTCTGGGGCAGGGGTCGGCAACCTTTTCAAATCAAAGAGCCAAACGACATCAAACTTCAGAACAAGGGATCAACAAAGAGCCGCATCAGAACGCCCATTTGTATGACTGAAATAATATTAATAATTGACATGATGATTAATCAGAGCGCCAATGAACCATTGGACTCACAGACTTTATTTCATGGGACTTGTGCTGCTGCATCTTTTCGCACATTTCTTTCAAGTTTACATCATAACTGGTCCAATTCAGGGTCATGCAGCATTCAAGCGCCACGAGTAACGACACCTTTTTCAAATTTTGAATTACTTTTTCATTTTAATTTTAAAAGTTGCCTGCATTTTGAGAATGAAAGAAGAGACAGTTTTGGTTCCAGACTGAGCCAGATTTGGCTTGAGAGCCATAAGTGGCAGATCCCTGGTCTAGGGGATAAGGCATTAGACTGGGGAGCAAGAAACATGGTGCTAATCCTGGATCTATGTCTGCCTTGTTGGGTAATCTTGGGCAAGCTATTGCCTTGCTCAGTGCCTCAGTTTTCCCATCAGTAAAATGGGGATAACAAAGCTGACTCCGTCATACATTTTACATTCTAGGTCTAAAAAGGGCTATGTAAGAGGTAGGGACCATCATGATGTGAGATCAGCCAGGTTGACAAATCTCTCAGTTTTCCCCATCCACCTTGTGACAACTGTTTGTTTTTTCTTAAAGACCTGGTGGCTCCCACCAAAAGACGGCATGGAAAACTCAACTATTGGAGTACCTACTGCATTGTCCCACATAACACTGGAAATCAACACAGGCCCATCCCAAAAGTGAGGGGTTACCTGAAATTCACAGACCCACCTGTCCCAAAACAGATGCCTCTTTGGGTGCTGCTTTTGAAGCATTGGACAAGACAAGCAGGAATTTTTCATCTAGCAGCTTATGTCTGGATCCCAACTTTGGCAGGGCTCTCTCGCTCTCCTTCCCTCTCTCTCTCTCTGTCACTGCTTCTCTCTCTGTCTCTTTCTCTCTTCACTTCCCCACTGAGAAAGACTAAAGAGAGATGGAAAATTCAGGTGTCTGTAGCATCTGTGTTACTCCCACTCTTGCTGGAAAGCAAGATTTCAAATACATCAATACATGGAAAGCCCCTCCCTCCGAATGATTAGATATGAAGTCCCCCTCTCCCCATCCTTAGACAAAGTAGCCAGACTCCTCAGGGCCAGATTTTCAAGGCTTCAGCCCTCTTTGGAGCCCCTAAATAAAGGCAAGATGCTGAAGCAGAAACTCAGCACCCTTGCCAGGACTAAGCACCTGAGTGCCAGCCCAAATCTGGACATCTTTTCTGGGTTTTTGAGCCCCGCTGCCCGAATCCTGCAAGCCTGACTCAGTCAACCCCAGGGGCCTGTTTTTATATGTGGAGACATAAAGAGACTCCACTGATGGGGGTGAGAGAAAACCCAGGCCAAGCCCGATGGCTCTAGTTGCATTTGATACATGTGAAATGAAGGGTCCTAATGCAGTAGCTCTGAGGCTGTATGCACCACGGTCAGGCCAGGTTACCTGGGCTATTGCTGACTTACGCAGGGTAAGGAGCCACAAACACAACCTGGCCCACTGTGTGTGTCTTGCACAAAAGTTGCTATCTGCCAGCACAAGAGGTCTGATTATCAAAGCGGAGCTGGCGCCTCACACACCTGAAATCAGCACTGAGAACCGGCTACCGCTTGCAGCAAAGTGATTCCTTTTTGCCCAGGGAAGGGGCAATCCAGGGCTGTGGGGCGAACAGCGATCTTTTCCTGTACGGGCCTTGAGCTGCCCCCGATCTTTTCCTCTACGGGCCTTGAGCTGCCTCTGAGATCTGTGAAAGTGTGGGGATGTTCAAAATGTTAACAGAACAGGAGGCAGAGAAAGGAAGCCAACCCTTGATTCTAGTGGCTTTTGTTCACCCCAGAAATGCTTGGTCTGTTTACAAAGGAATCATGGGAGGGAAGGGATATATATATATCTCTGTAAACAGACCAAGCACACACACACACACACACTAAGGATTACGGAATGCCCCCCCTCCCACTAAGGACTATGAAATACGCACACACAGAGAACTATGGAATGCATGCACACACACAGATTGACTACGGAACGCCCTGAAACACACATTCTCTCTCTCACACACACACACAAAGGAACACTGTAAACCTTGCATCTGACAACGAGGGGTTTTGCCCACGAAAGCTTATGCCCAGATAAATCTGTTAGTCTTTACGGTGTCACAGGCCGCCTCGTTGTTTTTGTAAACCCTGAGAAATTCCTCAGTCAGCCTCTGTACCTTTGTTTTAATTGTGGCTACGTGACACTGGAACCTTACATGTTTTCCTCGCTGAGTTCACAGGGCAGGGCGAATATTTGGCCTTGGAGCTTACAGGAAATGAGTGTCCTCAGCATCCCCTGGTTAATAAAACAATGTGAGACTTTGGGAAACAGATTCCTGCTAAGATCTATCTATCTATCTATCTATCTATCTATCTATCTATCTATCTATCTATCTATCTATCTATCTATCTATCTATCTATCTATCTATCTATCTATCTATCTATCTATCTATCTATCTATCTATCTATCTATCTATCTATCTATCTATCTATCTATCTATCTATCTATCTATCTATCTATCTATCTATCTATCTATCTATCTATCTATCTATCTATCTATCTATCTATCTATCTATCTATCTATCTATCTATCTATCTATCTATCTATCTATCTATCTATCTATCTATCTATCTATCTATCTATCTATCTATCTATCTATCTATCTATCTATCTATCTATCTATCTATCTATCTATCTATCTATCTATCTATCTATCTATCTATCTATCTATCTATCTATCTATCTATCTATCTATCTATCTATCTATCTATCTATCTATCTATCTATCTATCTATCTATCTATCTATCTATCTATCTATCTATCTATCTATCTATCTATCTATCTATCTATCTATCTATCTATCTACACCCCCTCTATCTATCTTTCTACACCCCTATCTGTCTATCTACATCCACCCCCTCTATCTATCTATCTCTATCTACCCCCTTTATCTACACCCCCATCTATCTATCTATCTACATCCACCCCATCTATCTATCTAGTCATCCCCATCTACCCCCTCTACCCCCTCTACCCCATCTATCTATCTATCTATCTATCTATCTATCCCCATACACTCCCTCTGTCTATCTCCACTCTATCATCTATCTACCCCCTTTATTTACACCCCCAACTATCTATCTATCTATCTATCTATCTACATCCACCTATCTATCTATCTATTCATCCCCATCTACCCCCTCTATCTATCTTTGTACATACCCCTTCTATCTATCTATCTATCTATCTACATCCACCCCCTCTATCTATCCATCCCCATCTACCCCCTCTGTCTACACCCCTTCTATCTATCTTTGTACACACCCCTCTATCGATCCGTAGACCTAAAACTCTAGGCCCCAATCTGAGGGCTCCACCAGCTTGTGGTTCAGTCCTGTTGACTGTCGCGCGGCGACTCACCTGTTGCAGGCTAACCCCGCGCAGGGGCAGGGCCCCCGAGAGCCCCGCTGCCCTGCCCTGCGCCCTGCTGCCCACACACCCCTTCTATCTATCTTTGTACACACCCCTCTATCGATCCGTAGACCTAAAACTCTAGGCCCCAATCTGAGGGCTCCACCAGCTTGTGGTTCAGTCCTGTTGACTGTCGCGCGGCGACTCACCTGTTGCAGGCTAACCCCGCGCAGGGGCAGGGCCCCCGAGAGCCCCGCTGCCCTGCCCTGCGCCCTGCTGCCCACCCC